AATCAGATTGTGATGAGATCATGATAATGAGACCGATTTACCTTTAAATATAAACACTAAATAATCCTGGTCATAGGTTAATTGAGAGGGACATCGAGATAATCAGACAGACTGGTGTGTTGTATACCCGTCTATATGATGGAGGTAGTTAGTCTTATAGCTGCTCGTGTGGGGACACTATGGATACAATACATGTACTTATTGGAAAATGAGTTCATTGATTGATCCGCTCACGGAATTTTGGATGATTAATGATACCTCATTGTTAGACAATGATTATATTGTCCCAATGGTGTACCCGATCCTTAGACTTGAGATACCAAAGATGTCCTATATGAGTACTCCACTCTTTGATACTGGACTTATATGTTTGGAAGTTCTAAATCTAGTACAATCGGTCATCGGGAGTTGCAGTCAACCTTACGAGGGCTATTGAGTGTCGATAGGGGATCATCCACTCTTAATGTCATGATAGAAATATCTCATATGTTCTTGCTCAAACAATCCCTAGCCATGGTCATTCAGATTTAGAGAAAAAGAGTTCTTTGAGAGAATTCAATTAGAGCAAGACTTGAGTAGAATCCGTATGGGTTTGACAGCACCATATCTGGTATACGGTCTCTAAGATATTAGATAGATAAGGGACTATAGGTACATGGTAACTGAGCACAAATATGTCCAAAGGATCGGATTCATCGTTTGGAGGCTATGGCGTAGTGGCATAGTATGTCCGCAATCAATGAGTCGAGTGAATTATTATGGGGATAATAATTCACTGAGCCAAAAGGAGTTCTGACAGGTATGACTCACGACCAGCTCGATATTGAGCCTAGAGGGTCACACACATATGGTAGGCATTGCGACGAGTATAGGTTCGGATATGAGATATCCGTCGGAGTCCCTATCTTATTGAATTCCAATAAGCCCTTGAATTATTGGATCTTATGAATGAGATCCAATAAGAGCCAATAAGAGATTATTGGATAGAGATCCAATACCCAATAAGGTAGGATCCATTAGGGTTAAGTTGATAGGGGGCCTCTATAAATAGGAGGGAACCAAACACCCAAATGCCAAAGGTTTTCTTGGTTGCCACCTTCTATTCTCCTCTCCCCTTCTCCTCCTCAGATAGTAAGTGTGGAGATTTGAGAAATGTCGTTGTAGCCCTACTGTGTGGATCACCACTAGAGAGGTGGGCACTTGACTTCCTTCATCATCTTCTACAGATCTATAGGGATTCAAGGATATATAATCTCCCTAAGTAAAACATAATTATCTCACACATAGATTTAAGTTTCATAGATTTTTGCACACCAATCTTCGTACGATGACGAACATCTTTTTAAAAAATTTTGATTTTTTTATTTTTTGTTCTTCCGCTATGCATATGATGTCGCCTCTAGATTTCCCTACAGTGATATTAGAGCCAGGTTGTTTGTGCGAAAGAATTGTTTTAAACTGCATGTGTTATGTTTTAAGAAGAATTTTTTCGTCAAGATCATTGACGCCAAAGGCGAGAAAGGACAACAACTAATGCTGCCCATGCAGAAGTGGCCAAACGCTGCTTGCAGCCTTGGCCATCTGCGTGCAGGCAACTGGCTACCGTTGGCATGCCTTAGCAGGCTGCCAATAATGGTACTCATAGGGGCGTCCGCCCACCGGGGGGGCGTAGCACCACTTGTGGGCACTACACCCACAGGCAAAACCACCCGTAGGGATAGTAGTGCCCATAGGGGCGGTTGTGCCCATAGG